TCTTATTAATAAGTTAATCTTTGACAAATTACAGAGAGGCCCTTGAGAGAGCAGGAAAATACAAAAAACAGAATAATACAGAGTATGGGCCCAGAATAAGGYCCACAACAGAGAGAAACATAACATAACATAACATAACATGAACTAACTGTCTATGGGCCATTCGGCCCATCTTCTCTACAGTAGACAAAGGAGCTGAATAGGCCTGTTGCTGAAGCAACAAATCAAATCGTCTCACCAGATCTTGAACACCTCCTTCCAGAGATTGTACCGAGCTTTCCAGAGACGAGATCTTCGAAAGTCCAGCTACTACCTTTTCTGGATCGAGTCGCTGAATCTCATTGCGTAAGCCATCCATCTCCACACGAAATTCAGAACGCAGAGAAGTCAAGCGTTCTCCGAAACCCTCCATCTGCGATGTCACTTCCTTAACTGTCACCGTGGCCGAGGAAAGACGAGCTCTGATACCACTGATATGACCCAGAAATTTGACACGCAGTTCACAGACTCACAGCATAATCCAAACCACTAGTACATCAACAGGGAACTGATATTCATTCAGAAAAAAAGAAGATCACTTACAGTAGGTCGGTTCTTCGAGAGACCGCCGGCTCTCCCAAGCACTCTCAGAATTCTGTACTCAACAAAAGTCCCCCTCCTCCATCCCCCAAAGCCCCTTCTTATACACATCTTACAGCATAACTGCCTTCCATAATAAATGCCCAACTGGCCAACTTATAAATGCCCCACACTCTTCTTATTCCCAACTGACAAGCTATAAATGCTACAAAACTCTCCTTATTCCCTTCTGACTTCCTCTATAAATGCCCAGTTGGTAGGTCCCATGTGTTCAATTATTTCCCCCCCTTAACCGGTTGCTGCCCTTTCCTCTTCCTAGCATACGTAAGGTTAATTGGGGGCCTATCAGTGGGCTCTATCACAGCCTACTTAAAAGCATTTTGTTAGTTTGAGTACTGCAACCCCAAACCATTCTTGAGCTTATAGCATTCAAGGGGGCACCATTTTGATCTTAAAGTTGCTGTATTTGGAAAAGGCTATTAAGTTACTCCAAGCACAACCTATAATTTTATTTCTTCTAAGTTCAATCCTATAAAAGGGATAAAATCATTTATTTAAGAAATATGGGCCTGTAGTAGAGTCCATTTAAGTGAGTAGCAGCCCAGCAGGCCCTAAATTAATTAAAAGAGGCTGGGCCCCAATCACAACATATTAAACATTTAATGAGCTTGGATCTACCCATTTAAATAGACAACAAGCCCTAAAAGAGTTACATTAATATTAGTTTAAAAACACCCATTTAGACTCATGAGATGTCCCCCTTCTTTAAAGGGGTTGCCATTTGTCTTCTCATGAAGAGAGGGCTCTTTTCCCTCCTTAAAGGGGGTGAGAAGTTCTCTAACTACCTCTTCTATACACACTCCTCTCCTACAAGATGGGACTAATGCCATTCTAATAACTGAAGTTCCAAAAACAAAAGAGACAAGACAAGAGGAGAATGAGAAAAAGAGGTTTGCAGAACTAATGAAGAAGGATCAATCTACCCTAAGTCTGTAAAGGTAGGAGAGATGATGTTCCTTCCCCATTTCTTCACCATTACATTTCTACAACCTCCTCTATGAGGAAGTTACATTTTCCCTTCTTCTATTCTCTTACCTTTCTTCAATTTTCGTTTCTTCCTTGTCTCTGCATTAAGAGACTTAATTCTATGTAGGGGAGACAGCCATCTACGACCTTGTTCATGAAACTCGGTTGATTACAGTCATTACTTAAATGCCATATAAAAATGTTATCCATTTGTTTATTTCTTCTAGTTTCTCTCAAACCAAGGAGGGAGTGCATATGATAATTTTCAATAGAAAATTCTGCTGTCAAAATCTATTTAGTCTACCTTGTTCATTTACACTTCTAAGAATAAAAAGTTTGTCTCTACTCCCCCAACAGAAATGTAATTAATTAAGGAAATGTTAGACATTGGGGGATACTTTATCATCATCATCATCTAAGCCTTATCCCAAGTCCCAACTATATGGGATCGGCTACATTAATCCCAACTAAAAAATGTTATGTGAAATATCCACCAAAATTCTTTTTCCACTGAGTCGTCAACTCAGGATTTGAAACTTCATTCCTTCCACTGACAAAGTGGCAAGTGCCACTCCCACTAGACCAAGGAACCACTGGCACACCCTTCTAGATACCCCAACATTTGTTCCTTTTCCAAACTCTTTCAATCTGTGGAAACATCCTCTCTGTTGACAGTTGACACCCACCTCCCAATTGGCTCCTTGTCTAAAAGGTAACCCCTGATCACCACTCACCACTATAATCCTTCTGATGCCACCATCACCATCGATGAGGACTTGCTCAAAACAAGAACATCTTCACCTTCCACCACCACCTTGAGTGTAAAATTCAAACCACTTATATCAGGTCTAGGGACTTAGAGATGAGCATCAAAGACCTTGCTTCAATCAAAATCCTGAAAACATCTAATCTTATTCCAATTGAGGTTTTCATTGTTTGCCTTGATGAAACCACATGAAGCATTACCAATCTCCACAAAAGTAGCCTTATACTATGTACTCAACAAAATCCTGTATACAAAGATCGACCACCTTGCATAGTTTATTGCTTTCTTCATTGAGTTCACATACAAACTTCCAACTGTCAAGTTAGAGAACTGGATCATTTTTATCAATGTTAGAGAATCCAATTGTTGAAGGTACACCAACCATGCCCAAGGTAATGTAGCCACTTCTAAATCAAAAATAAATTGGAAATACCCCAACATAAGTTTTGTTCCCCCCCCCCCCCCACTGCAGTGCAGATATTTGACCACCCATCCCAAACCCATTTGGGAACCACCGATACCTTAGGACAATCATCCTTGAATCTCCTAACCAAATAATGGTGAACAAAATTCCTCCTCCTAAACAACACCTTCATCACCCAGTACTACTCAATTAGCTGATCCCCTTACTTGAGCAGCTGCAAAACCCTTTCCAGAAATCCTGAGATATGCACACTCATATTATGAACTGCCATACAATTCTTAAGCAGCAACCTTAAATAGTTCTGCCAATATTAAAGCTAAAACAAGAACCTATTCTACACTGCCATACCATCTGTATCTCTGCCCATAACATTCTTCAACCATATGCTTGCTTTGAAATTTATAATTGATACATTTTTGTAAGATGAGAAGAATTGTCTAAACCAGAAATAAAAAATAACAKAAGAAATCTATCCTGAGTTATTACAAAAGGAATAAGAAGTATAGTGACAGAGGATGAATAAAACCTACCCTGCTCTTTTTGGTCCTCTTGCACAGAACGCACAACTGTTCCAACTATACGCTTTAGAAAAGATCCAGCCTTTAGCTTCTGCAACAAGCGATGTTCAATAAGCTATATCTGAAGATGAGATATGAAATAAATAAGGTTTAGCCATCATAACATAACAAGTTACTTATCTGTTACAAAAATATCTCAAGCAGTCATACAGGACCATTTCCTGTATCCATTTCAGCTTTTTCCTCACTGCTTGGTTGCACAATGAGGGATTAAACAAATAAAATCCAAAATGTTGTAGGAGTCCAGGATTAATAACATTGTTTTAGAGCCGGTGAATTAGATATGACTTCTAAACTCTACCAATATCAAATCACCCAAGGGAAAGCTAGAAGTGCTAAAAATGAACATGGAACATATTTTTGTGCTATTTCAAACACCGAGTTAAGAGAGAATTTCAACATTCAAAATTCATCATAGTGCTTTGTGTAAATGTAGAATGAAAACAACTAAAAGTTCAGCAGATCCAGTATGAGTGACCAATCTGTTATTGGGTAAATCTAGGAGTTTTAATTGGATGGGAGTGGATTGAGCTACAACCCACCCATTTCACACATAAACCCATTTACAACCCGTCTGCATAGAGTCTAAATGGGTGGTAACTATGATACTTTAGATACTTGTACCACATGCCAAGTGCATCAGGATTTTAGGAGTGGAGAATTTTATCCCCRACTCCTGTATTGGACTGTTTTAGCTTCAAAACTAGATATAAGCACATGATGTAGCATATTACATGGAATACCCTCAAAAGTATCCCTGTCCAGGATTTTAGGAAATGGAAAATCATATCCCTGTTTCCTGTACTGGCATCTGTTTCCATGTCCATATCCATATCAAGGCATCATAGGTGGTAACCCACCCACTAGTTTACCCTAAGCAACCTATTAAATAACAAAATGCTGAAAAATAGTACTTAATATAACATTTTATAATTCTCTACATACATTACACACTATGACCCAAATCATCACTACACACATGGCAGCTTTTCCTTACATTCCAGTTTGCTTATCATCAAATTATCAGCTGTCCTAGTTAAATGAATCCAAAACCTCCTGACACAGTGAGGCATTGACCCCAAAAATAAGTCATGACCTGAATGATGCTGATGTAACATTGCACCGGAAATATTTATTATTATCATTCCATACAAAGGTAATAGTGTGGTATAACATGGAGACATAAAGTAAATGATTCTGATCCAATAATATACTTAACAAATTCCATACTTTTGAAAAGGTGCCTATACCCCTATATCATCAGCCTTGGAGATATAGAGGTTCTAATCCAATGGCTTTGCCATCACATCGCATCTCCACTAATGGAAACTTGGAAAGCACAGCTCAAAATATCAACATATTGGTTACATCGTATCATTCCCAAGAGTCACCAAAATGCTTACTTTTACTTTTAAGGGTTTGACAATTATAATGTTTTTAATCATCAAATATAAATGCCACATAAAAAAATAAAAAGTAGTATCAGCCACCCGAAATGCCAGATACCTGGTTTTACTTTTGTAGGGTTCTTGATAATGAGAACAAGAACTCTTTGGCTCTTTGGTTGGTTGATTTGTGATTAACGTACAACAGCACTATGTCAGACTCATTTCTGGTTTCAATTTTAGACTAACACTGACTAGTTATTTTGTGTTGGTTCAAAAGTGTAAAGAATAGTTAATTACCCACTTAACTAGTCAACAAATATTAGTCATACACTAAAATATCAATTCTGAGTTAGGTCCTACAGTCCTACTACACTAGAAGACAAGTTGCAATGGATTGTCAACCATCCGCAACCCGCTAGATAAATGGATGAGTTTGGGTAGGTTGGGTTAGAAATTGCTATCCCGAGGTAAATCTTTGTAAAAGATCTTCAAAAAGCTATATATTTTCACAAATTGGAGAACTAAAAAACTATCATTTTTTTCTTGATAAGTAACAGGAAATTTTATTAAGCATAAATAATAGTGTACTTCATGAGGTTGTTTCTATACATATCTGTTGTGTTGAGTGATTAAGTGTTAGTGGGCCTATTTGACATTTTATGTTTTAGTCTTATATTCACCACTTCAGCAAACATGGTATCAGAGCATCAATCAGCCTGACTGACTGGTTACATCTGGTTTTCCTTCTCTTCTTTCTTCTATTCTCTTTTTTCCTTTTTTTCCTTTGGATACTGGGTGGCCTATGTACTTGAAAGCTTTTGTTTCCTTGTAAATTGGGCAACTCTTTAGTAAAAACAATTGTAAACTTACTTCAAATTAATAAATAAAGTTTACTTGCTGATAAAAAAATTACTAAGAACAATGATGAAACATCTGCGCAATTACCATAGCATGGAATAAATTAGGAAAAGAACAATCAATTCCAAATTAATATCTATGAACAATATTCATTTCAATTTTGGTAAAATTATATATAAAATAACTGTTTAAAAGAAGCATAATAAGAAATATATGAGAACATGTGCTACCTCTTCTGACCCTTGAATACGCTTCATCTCCATTTGACAAAGTATGATTTTCTTTTGCTTTGATATACAAGTTTCCATTGATTGCATTAATTGTCTTTCTAAGGCTTTGATTTCTGTTTCCTCAATCTCCCTTCATTCAAAAATAGAAACAAATGAGATTCTTATATCTCGAAAAACAATGCTGTAAACAGTTTCTGAAGAAATACTCAAGGAATTTCTTCTGTGGTGATAGCATATGTAGATGAAATTGTGGTGAATGGGAATTGTCCAACTGAAATTCAAGCTTAAGGAATTACTAAACTCCTGATTTGAAATCGAGAGGTTTATGGACAAGTACCTTAAACAAGAGGTTTTGAAATAAGTAGATCGGCTAAGGAATTACTAAACTCCTGATTTGAAATCGAATGGGAATTGTCCATGGATTTCATAATTGGACTTCTCGTCTCCCCCGACAARCCTGTAATATTGGTAGTTGTAGATCAGCTAACAAAATATGGACATTTCTCTCCCTTCCCTCACCCCTACCCTGCAGCAGTGGTGGCTGAAGTGTTTGTCAATGATGTGGCAAAGTTGCACGGTACTCCACGAGGGATCGTCTCAGACCAGGATCCTCTGTTTCTCAGCATGTTTTGGCAAGAGTACTTCAAATTATAGGGGAACCAGCTACCGTCCACAGAGCGATGTTTAGACTGAGGTTGTGAATCGGTGCTTGGAAGTTTACCTGAGAATTTTTGCCGACGATTGTCCTAAGCAGCAGTGGGTTAAATGGTTGCCTTGGCGGGGGGGGGCTGAGCTATGGTACAACACGACTTATCAGTCGACAACCGGAATGATGCCACTTAAGGCTCTCTACGACAGGGAACCTCTGACCATTCTTCCTTATGAGAAGGGTTCGACAGCAGTAGCTTCAGTGGACAAATACCCTCCTCAAGACCCTTAAGGCCCACCTCCTTCGAGTACAGCAACTTATGAAGAACCAATATGACCGACACCACAGAGTTGTTGAATACACTGTGGGGGACCTTGTTTACCTGAAGTTACAGCCCTACAAACAAGCCTCCATGACCCAACATCTCTGGCATAAACTATCTCCATGGTTTTATGGTCCTTTTCCCATCATAGAAAGAATTAGGGCAGTAGCTTACAGGCTTCAGCTGCCAACAGGAACGAAGATTCATCCAGTGCTCCATGTTTCTCAATTAAAATGGGACATTGCGCCTACACCTTCAGTTACACTATCCCTACCTCCAATTACGGAAGGAGAGTTGCAGCTTACCCCATAAGAAGTGTTGGACTTCCACTGGATCAAGTATGGACGCAAGGTGGTAGAAGAGGCTTTGGTGAAACGGGAAGGGTTACCGGTTATAGATGCTACTTGGAAGCTAGTCTCAGTACTCCAGCAAAAATTTCCTTATCTCACCCTTGAGGACAAGGGTCTTTCAAAGGACAGGGAAACTGTTAGGGTCCATCGAGGACAACTATATCAAAAGACTAGACCGGACAGACCATCCCACTATCCCAGGTAACAAATCACCCAGTCATTGCTCGCATTTACACCAGGAGGCCACAACTAGGCAACTAAATTGTCAGGTTTCATTGGAGAGAAGAATATCCACTGGCTATAAACAACCAACTCTGTCAGGATAGGATAACTGAATGATTACCTTGTCTCCAAGCTCAACTATATAAGAAGCCTAGACTTAGTATTTTGAGCAGAATATAATACCAAATTTTCCTTTCTTCACTTGTTCTTCTTCATGAGGCTGTGTCACCTTCGAAAGGGCACCTGAGGCTGCCTAACTACATCATCATTATGTGTGGCCATCCTAACAATCAATGGGCTCCAGGCTTCCTCCACGCATCAATAACGTGGCACGTGAATCACCTATACATGTCCCACTTCATTTCCAAGTGTCCTGCCCGAGCCCGACCTCCAAGTGTCCTGACTGATTTCTAGGTGTCCAACACCTCTCTAACACATATCCTTTTGGCACAAGCACTCAGGRCCTATTTAAAGATTAGTTTTGCATTCATTATATACTTTTGGCCTCATTAATTACTGGCTTTATCACCTCAGACAGATCGCCTTATACTAACTTGCTCGTCAAAGTCTCAAGCCTAGGATCTCACCCCGGCCCCTCTGACCTCATCCTCTTTTGCAGGAACCCTGCTGACTTCCAAGCTGCTTTCGAGACAATCATTGGCTTTTGATCTTCATTAGTAAATAAGAATTCCTCTCTCTTGGGCAAGTGGCTGTGGAGATTCCCTATTGACTAGGATAAATTTTGGCACTTGGTCATTAAAAGCACTCATGGTGTTTAATCTAATAGCTAGGATGCTAATTTAAACACAAGATCTACCTTGACACCTTGACCTCCTGGAAAGCTATTGTCATTGTTATCTAATTTTCTTAGCTTCATCCAAATTGATGTTTTCTATGTTAACYAAGTTCTGGAAAGATCTTTGGTAGGGGATTCTATTCTCATGGACAAGTTTCCTTCTATTTTTGCATTATCTACTCAAAAAGATTGTCTCATCTCGAACTGTATTTCTTCTTCTGCAAATTGACTTACTTGCGACCTAGGTTTAAGAAGGGGACTTGGAGAATCTGAATCAACTAAGGCCATGACTCTCTTCGAGTCTCTTAAAGGGATTCCAAGACTTCTCCAAATAGGACACAAGAAGTTGAACTTTCAACTCTTCTAGTTATTTTTCTTGTGCTTCTTTTTTTAAGAGACATTCTTTAGATCCTAATTCATCCTCTTTTTTTCCCATCAATGCCATTTAGAGTGGCTCGGTACCACCAAAGTTTAGAGCTTTTTGTTTGGAGGTTCTCCATAACAAAATTAATACTTGTGAGACTCTCTCTCTCTCTCTCTCTCTCTCTCTCTCTCTCTTCATATGTGCCTTTTGTACAAAGAAAATGGCAAAGATGAGGCAAAAGGGTGGAGGAATTAATAGAAAGCATTACAGTGAAAGTGGAACATTGGATGAAGACAGACATCTTTGCTCCATTCACAGCCGATGGCATCACAAGAAACTGGAAAATAGTGGTAGATTATTTCTCGAGCAGACTTTTTTTTCTTTTGAGAAAAGGTAAAGTATTGATTTCATTTCACAACTATGCATCAAAGAAGACCCTTGTGCAACTAGAGGTTATGCATTGGGAATATATACACTTCCCTTGCAGTCCTATATAGAAATCCCTTGATCGTTTACAAAATGATTATCATATACAAACAAAATAATTATAACTTCTCCCTTCGATAATTCTGTTAATAACAATCAAGAATGTAATTTTCCTGTAATTTTCTGAAAAAAGAAAATGCTGAACTGCTTTCATGCTGGGACACCCTTGTATTCCTCTCCTACCAGAATACCGCAAACACAACTTATGGGGTGATATTCCATGCAATTTTCCCCTCTTACTCAGATCATTCACACTCCAACTTTTAAGGAATTCTATCACTATAGCCAAATAGCACCCTTTGATGGAAAAAGAATTAAACATCCTAACCCAAATGGAATGAGAAAGGGCAACTTAGCAGAAAATGATCTATTGTTTCCATATCATTTTATAGGACACAATCAGTAGTGTCCACCAATATACCTCTCCTTACCAGGTTGTCTCTAATACAAATCCTATTCAACACGCACTCCATACAAAGAAGACTACCTTAGATGGAATGTTCTTACGCCATATTCTGCTAGCAGGAAATTCTTGTTCATCTACCTTTGTCAGATATTTATAAAAAGATCTAAAAGAGAACTGCCCTCTTTTTTTTTTTTTTTGATCAGTAACAGAAGCAATTCGTTAATGAGAAAAGAGGTAGGTACAAAGGCAGGGGAGATAAGCTTTCTTTTTTTGATGAATGAATGGTATTTTATTAAATAGAGATAGAAAAAGTACAAGCATGAAGCACCCTAAGAGGAGGCACGAGGTGTTTCCTCCCCTTAAAGGTGGTTCCAAACCCAACTCTTTTCAGATTGCAGTTATAAATTAGCCAAAAACAGAGAATCCCTTGAAGCCCCTTGTTTAGCTAAAGAATCTGCCAAAGCATTTGTCGATCTACTAACCCACTGAAAGCTAACTGACATGGTTCTTGTAAGCTATTTGACTTTTTTGATGATGTCCCTTTATCCCCAAACAATAGTTTCTAGGTCCAACATCCATCCCACTATCACCTTAGAGTCTCCTTCAACTATCAAATTAGCCACTCCAAGTTGGTTGGAAACCTGTAGTCCTTGTACCACAGCTAATATCTCAGCCCTTGTAGAGTCTCCATAACCCACTGGACCTAAGAATAAGGACAAAATGATCAAGTCTATAATGCCATTGAATAGGAGAAAGAGATGTCTGAAGAGCTGTTGACAAACCACCACCACCATCAAGATAATATAGTCCACCAGCTTCATGCCCTCCACCAATCTTCATCCCCATCTTGAGATTCTAAAAAACACAAGAAGGGTAAAAGATGATAGAGCAATTAAGAGACTCAGTTAGCTTACTAACATGCATAAGATTAAAAGGAAATTTGGGAACATATAAATTGAAGACAGGGATAAAGGATCTTGGTCAACATTACCAACACTGCATATGGAAGATGTGGAACCATTAGAAAGGGTAACAAAGTGTGATGTGGAGCACTGAAAATAGGAGGAAAATACACCTAGAATCCCAGCCATATGATAGGAAGCTCCAGAATCAATCCAATGGGAGGGTTTGGGTGGCAAACAAGCCATACCTAAATGTGCGAGAGTAGTTGTATTCTGTTGAGACGTGGCTTGGATAAACCTCTCATACTCATCACATGGACACTCATCATCTCCTTCCAGGAGGCATCCATAGATGTAGAAGGCATTTGATCAGCTTGCTAAATATCCTATCTTGAACTACTATCATTGGCCACTGCATGATTTGCCCAAGTCGAAGGTGGGCCATGTAAATCATAACAAAAATTGATAGTGTGCCCTTCTAAACTACAACGTGTACACCTCCTCAGACCATTACTATGTCCTCTACCACGAGCTCCCCCTGAATCTCGACCTCCAATACGTCCACCACCATGACTATACATGGATCCACCACCACCACTACGACCGGGATGAACTCCCCAAGCTCCACATCTAACTCCACGACCTCCCCTCTTGTCACTGCAAAGGCAAACCTATAAGAGATTAAATTAGAGTGCTTTGTTGGCCCAACAGAAATCCTGTGAAGACGGKCAAACACCTCTTCTAAAGAGGGAAGAGCTGACCCACCTAGTATTTGTGCTCTCACCGGTTCATATTCAGGTTTCAGCCCTACTAAAAATCTGGTTACATCGAGTTGCTCTCTCTGTTGTTGCTGAATCTTAACATCAAAAGTGAGGATATGGTACACATTCAACTCATTACAAAGATTCCTCATACTAGCATAGTATTCCTCAAGAATTTGATTACCCTATTGTAGATAAAGTACTACTAATAAAGCTGATACACTCTAGTAGTATTGTCTTGTCCAGAGTATAGCTTCTTGGCATGGTCCCAAATCTCCTTAGCTGTATCTAAGAACATAAAATTCACACTAATCTTGGGTTCCATAACCATATCATAATTTGTACATCATCTTGTTCCCAATCACTATATTCCTGAGAATCAGCGAGAGAATTTTCTTCTCTTACATGCTTCACCTTCTTCTTATCCCTAATAAAGACTTCTATAGAAGTCGCCCAAGGCACATAATTCTCACCATTCAATTTGATAGAAGTCATCTGAACATTCAGGTAATTGGGGGAAACCATAACACTAGACTTGTGTTCACTACTGTCTCCCATATCTGAAATTTTTTTTCTTTCTTCACACACCTGTATGTCACACCATCCAACTTACTTTCCACACACTACACTCTAGTGACAGGTTATTTCTGAAGGCATCTACTGTCACAATTTTCAGCAATAACAGTCACTGGTATTCTTCACTCTCAGCACCATAAACCTTCCTGAATACACACAACACACATAGCAACTCACCAACCACTGGATTCACACTGAAACACCCATACAGCCCACCTATTTGATCAACAAAAAACCAAGTAACCAACCTGTATTCAACTGTCCACTGCACCACCTGAAACAGCCCTCTTCGAACCATCAATTAGAGGGCTTCCTATAAACCACCACAAACAACCACTAAACCACAAACCGAAGGCATGAAAACCTCCAAAGGGGAAGGGTGACCACTCCTTTTCAGCCCTTTTTATTATCTCCAACGGATGATGAAGAAATCTGAAAAACCCTGGGCTGAATGGCAATGGAAAAGAATTCTGGGCATATCTGAATTTGTCAAATTGCTTTGATACCATGATAAAACTCAGATCTGAACCAGAGTTAGTTTGTTAATAATAGGGAAAAAAGAGAAGAAGGGAAGAAGAGAGGAGAAGAAAAGAGAAGGAGAAAAGGCCAGTTCGAAGTAGAGAGCAAAGTCCTCACTCTCTAGTCGGCCAGGTTATATTTATAGTTTTCTATAATAGAAACAAAATGACTGTTGAGCCCCTACTTAAGTATGGGACACATCACTGAACTTAAACATTACACCTCACACCAAAACATAAATAAAAAGACCAAACTACCCCTATGCAGTCAACACTAACATCCCCAAACTGGTGTATTTTGTGCAAAACCCATATTGAGGACTGCTATTTGCTGATTTCCTGCCCCTTTGCTGCAGCTCTGTGGGATTGGAGTTTTTATTTGTTTGGTTGCAAGCAGATGCCTTAGAGCAGCCACATTGTGGACTATTTGGGAAGAAAGGAATTCTAAAACCTTGTCAGCAGTGAATGAGTGTATATTAACTAGAGCTATACACTGACTGAGAACCCTAGACTCATTCACTCCTTTTTCCTTTATTGACTTTTGGAGAAGCTAGGCTGTAATAGCTAACATGTCCTCTAGGAAAAATAAATCTGCAGCAGTTTGGGTACCTCATTCGGAAGGTTTTATTAAACTGAATTTTGATGGAAGCAGCCAAGGAAATCCAGGATTTTCAAGGATTGGAGGAGTCTTGAGAACTGAGGAGAGCAATATCTTATCACTGTTTTCAGGCCCGGTGGGAGTAGGTGCTTGAACAAGGGCTGAGTTGTTGTTGGTGTTAGACAGTCTTGTATGCCCTTAGCTTCAATCCGATTTGATGTACTTTTGTTATTTAGTGGAAATAATTAAAGTGCATGTTTGATTCATGTTGTTTGGTTTAATTCTGTGTAAGACCCTAAAACTGGACACTTATAGAGACTCGTGTTAGTTTTAAATGTTCACAGCCATTGGATAAGTCTGGGGAGATTTATCC